CACCAACCCAGCCCAGGATGGGGGACAGGAAAAGGTCACTGAGCCACATTTCCCCATGCCCAGCTCCAGCTGCACCAAACAGCTGGGCTCAGCAGGGACCAAACCTGTAGGTTCTGAGTACCCACCACACATAGCTCTAGAATCATAGAATATCAGGGTTGGAAGGACCTCAGGAGGTATGTAGTCCAATCCCCTGCTCAAAGCAGGACCAATCCCCAGACAGATTTTTTGCCCCAGATCCTTAAATGGCCCCCTGTCAGGGTTTCCTCCCCACTCTGAACTTTGGGGTACAGATGTGGGGACCTGCATGAAAAGCCCCATAAGCTTATTTTTACCAGTTTAGGTTTAAAACTTCCCCAAGGCACACATTCCTTCCATGACCTTGGTATTTCTGCCACCACCAAGTGATTTAAACAAACATTTAGGGAGGGCCACTTGGAGCCCTACCTCCCCCGAAATATCCCCCCCAAACCCCTACACCCCCTTTCCTGGGGAGGCTTGAGAATAATATCCTCACCAATTGGTTACAAAATGAGCACAGATTAAACCCCCTGAATCTTTAGGACACTGAAAAACAATTCGGTTCTTAAAAGAAGTTTATTAAAACAATTATCTTTGTAAAATTAGGATGGAAGATAACTTTACAGGGTAACAAAAAGATTTAAAACACAGAGGATTTTCCCTCTAGGCAAAACTTTAAAGTTACAAAAACAGGGATAAACCTCCCTCTTAGCACAGGGAAAATTTACAAGCTACAACAAAAGATAATTTAACGCATTTTTTTGCTATTACTTACTATTTTTGTCATATTAGATGCTTGTTCAGATATGGCTTAGGGAGATGTATTTTCCCGGCCCTTGTTCCCTGCTGACCCAGAGAGAACAAAGGAACCCAAAACAAAAACCTTCCCCCACAGATTTAAAAGTATCTTCTCCCCTTATTGGTCCTTTTGGTCAGGTGCCAACCAGGTTATCTGAGCTTCTTAACTCTTTACAGGCTAAGGAGGGATTATCCCTTTACAAGGTAAAGAGGGATTTTATGCTACCCTTAGCTGTATGTTTATGACACGCCCCCCAAATCAAAGACGGTGCTGGACAGCCTGCTCCACACTGGCTGTGATTTCTTCCTGGAGCTCTAGGAGAAAACAGAATTAATAAGACACATACACCTCTAGATATACTACTGATTATATAAAACCTAATAATATTTTTTACATTTTAAGGACGATTTTAACCAGTTGATTCTGGGAAACTTTCACGGGAGAGTGCATCAGCCACTTTATTAGAAGCTCCTGAAATGTGTTGTATTTCAAAATGAAAATCTTGGAGAGCTAAACTCCACCGAAGAAGTTTTTTGTTATTGTTTTTGACGGTATGAAGCCACTTTAGCGCAGCATGGTCGGTTTGCAGGTGGAAACGCCGTCCCCAAACATATGGGCATAGCTTCTTCAAAGCGTACACAATGGCATAAC